TTAAAATTTGTTTCCAACTCTCAACAGCATAATTATATGCATAATTTAATTGCTTTTGAAGATTTTCTATTTCATTAACTTTATTATTTAATTGCATTTGAAGCAAATATACATAATTTTCAAGATTCTGAACTACAGATTCAGTTGTTTGTATACCAACTTCACATATTTGCTGTTCAGTCTATACACCAATTTCATACTTCTGCTTTCTAACCTGCATAAAATCTTTTTCAACAAATTCAGTTTCAAAATCGTAACATTCTGCTTGTCATTTTGAAATATTTCACTAGCTACTTAAATTTAAAAGATTTTGTCGTAAATAATCGGAAACTATAAAATTATTATAATATTATTCACATAAAGAATAATCTTCTAAATGCGTTTGAATTTCAATTAATTCAGGAAAAAAAGTATTATATATTTGAAGTCGGCTTTTTGGTTTTTCAGCATCAGCACGTCATTTAGTTTGGGATTCTTTTGTTTTACATTTCACTAGTCCTAAATTATTATAAAGTAGGATTAAGGTAGCAAAAACACAGGGTAGAACTTTTACTAGTAGTCATTGAGAACTCACTAATTAAAAAAAATTGTAAACCTTATTTGAGAAAAATAAGTAGACTCAAATAGAAATTGTTATATAGCTACTCGAAATATATAATAAATTACTCGAGCAACTCAGATAATCTAATAATACCCGAGTAGCAATATTCTCAAATGGGTCCAACTTCTATAAATAAAACCAATTCCCTAAGCTAATATAATTAACTCTCTAAATAAACTCATCAAATCAAACCAAGTATTATATTAGAGAGAGTAAAATGTATATAGCTTGGAATTAAAACAGATATTAAAGATTTACCTACTTATTTGCAAGATGAAACTTTTGAGCTAAGTATATTTCAGAGGGAAGGTTTTTTTTTTTTTTTTTTTAAGGATCTTTTAGAAGTTTTTTTTCGTTCTTTTTTTCTCTTGTATCTCTCAGAAAAAACAATGATCTTCATAAAGAAGCTTTTTCTTGTTAATATAGAGCAGGTGCAACTTATATACTAGCAAAAATGATCTATACTTTGAGAGTTTTATTAGGTTATGTTTAGACAAAATAGTAATTATAATTTATAAAAGCAAACTGATTTCTAACTGATTATGAATTTATACGTACTGGACTACCTATTTTTATAGCTGCTTACTATAATATAATATTGCTTCATGCAATATTTAGTACACAAACTTTAAAAAAATTGACAAAAATTAGATAATCTATAATTCTCTGATTTTTCTAGAATATGAATTGTTATATGAAATCCAATCTACTATATATATACCAAATCTGGAAATTTACTGAACTGTAATACTTTGTAAGAATATTACTGTGGTACATGTATACAAAGTAGTATAAGCAATAGGAGGTTTTTATATAAAAAAATTTTTCAGTATTATGAAAAATTTGTTAGGAATTTAAAATTCAGTGCAAATTTGCTCTGAATACAGACTAAGGAATAATTTGATAATGATAACAGAACTGAAGTCCTTATATTGAAATTAATATTTCTATAATATTATATAAATTAATTAGAAAAAAATCTAATGATATTGCTAGTAAATGAGTTTATTCTATCTCTCTATTTTTAGACTATTTTTCTCTATTACTATTGTAATTTCTCTTAAAAAAAACTCTGTTTAATTTTATACAACTTTTCTAAATTATATCTAATTTTTCTAAATTTAAAATACAAATTTTACAAATATACAAATATAAAAGAAATAACAAATCTAAAAATAATAATATTTCTAAAGATTATTATTATTTTAAACAAAGACAACTAAAATAATAACTTAAACAAAGCTAACAAAATTTTTATAATTTTGTTTAAAGAATTTAGCAAATTATTAATTTTTTAATTCTAATGATCTCTATTATGATAAGAAAATTTTAAATTCAACTTTAAATGATATTTATAAAGCTTTATAAATAGCTTTAAATAAACAGAATCTAAAATTTATTTAATTATTAAAATAAAATTTAATAATTACTTAGCTGTTTAGAACAAAATAAATAAGAATAATATTTATTTTATTTAAAATAAATAATTTAATAATTTTGAACTCTAAATTTTAAATTATTTTATTGATTAAAATAATAATAGATATTTAATTTAAACTTTTATAATTATTATATTTCTTGTTTTATCACTCAAAATTATTTTAATTTTGAAGGTATATTCTTACTTTAGATTTTGATTTTAGTATCTAAAAATTTACATAATTTTTAGAAGTTATATTTAACTTTTAAATTCTATTTAAAAGATTTAATTATTTTTGATTATTTTTATTTTGAATTTTAGTTTTATTACCTAAAAATTTATATAATTTTTAGAAGTTATATCTAACTTTTAAATTCTATTTAAAGGATTTATTTATTATTTTTATTTTAAATTTTAATTTTATATCTAAAAATTTATATAATTTTTAGAGACTACACTTTTTGCTTTTAAATTCTATAAAAAGGATTTAATTTTTAATTAATTTATTTTGAATCTTTCTAAATTGTTTTCAAAAACTATATATTATTTTAAATATCTTTTTATAACAAAATATTAGTAATTTTAAAAAGTTTAAATTTATCATACATAATTTTTTATTTTTATTTTTTTAAAATTTTTAAAATATATCCTCCGCAACTGTGAAAACTGGGTATACAGTGAACGCCTTTACAGAAGACTTACAATTATCCTTAGCTACTATTACATCAACACCTACTGAGAACAACTTATGTTATAACAAATTCCTTTCTTATCACAACCTACTAACACTTCCAAATTCACAAACACTTAAATCTTTCTACCAACATCTCCAACACATTAATTATACTCAAATACCAAAAATCTCAATTAACTTAACAAAAACTGAAACTCATGTTTATATTAACTACAATGACCCCCTTCTCCCAAATCATATTATCCTATCTCCTCATGACCAACTACAATACTTTCACTTACCTCTAAAATCAAATCTAAACAACAATTCTACCACAAATAATAACTTTAATAACAATAATAATATCTCAATAGAATATACCTCACTTGCTTTAAAAATAGCTTCTATAAATATTAATGGTCTACTACAACCTAACAAACAACTTGCATTATCTGAAACACTTAATAATGCTTCTTATGAAATTTTAGGAATATCAGAAACACATCTCTCTACAAAAGAAGGAAATTTCCTAAACAAACATATTCAAAATTACAAAAGCTATTGGAGCTCTTATGAAAATACACATCAAGCAGGTGTAGGAATATTTATTCACCAAAATATTGCAAAATATATTGCCAGAATACATAACTACAATGGACATATTGTAGGTCTCGATCTTTACTTTAAAAACCAACCAATTAGATTACTACAAATCTATATTCCAACCTCGGAAAAAAAACAACTCCGTAAGGAAATTCAAAAAAAAATAATCTCTCTAATACAAAACACCACTTACAAAACAATAATTATGGGAGATCTCAATAGTGTTCCAAATGCACGTATTGATCGAAATCTTCTTAAAAAAATATCAATACCTGAACTCCAACTCATCAAATATCTAATTAGTCACCAATTCAAAGATAGCTACCGTATCTTCTTTCCTAAGTCTAAAAATTATATATTCCATCGCCAAAATATATAAAGTCGAATTGATCAAATCTGGACAAATTTATCAATAACAAATATTGACTATGCAGATATACTTGATGACAATGCATTTGAATCAGACCACAATATTACAACTATTGAAATCTCAATTATAATCAACAAACCAAAACCTCAAAAACAACATAAACGGAAATGCTTTCTTTGGAAGAACTGCACTAAAGAAAAAATTAAAAATTATACTAAACAAACAGCTCAAAGTCTTCAAAAAATCTTTACAAAAATAGATGATATTTCAAACCAAAACCAACTCAACAACTGTTGGAACCAAATCCACAAAGCATTAATTAAAACAGCTACTAAACATATTCTCTTTAAAAAAATTAAAACAATTAAAGAAATATAAAACAACCCTACAACTAAACAAACACCTCTCTTCTACAGATATAAACAAATTTAATATCTTAAAAACTACTTCTTATCATCAAACTTTAATACTCTATTTTCTAAATACTTAACAGATTACCTAGACAACTTCTTCATCTCCAATATACCTACACTTGACCAAATCAAAAAAGAATTCCAACTTATCAAAACTGCACTTAACTACCAACAAAAACAAAAAACCTATAATGATATTAAACAAAAAATCGAAAATCGTGACAAATTCTTCAAAGAAACACCTAAACTGTTCTACAAAAAAATATTAGAAAAATACAATAATCTCAACTTAGATAGACTTTTAACTAATAATACTCTACTCACAGAACATGATGAAATCCTAAATGCAGTTCAACATCACTTCTCTGATTATTTTGAAGAAAAATCTACTCAACCAATACCACCATCTTCCGAATTTTTTCAACTATACTAACCACATCCAGAACTCGAATATCATTACCAATACCTCTTTACTGAAATATCTGATCAGGAATGGCAAGAGACCCTTGCTAGCCTTCCTAATCAAAAAGCAGCAGGCCCATCTGAAATCTGCTATGAACATATCAAACATACTAATCAAAAAACGCAAAAAATTCTAAAGTTATTTATTAACAAATGCTTCCAACTTCAAAAAGTACCAACAGAATAGAAATCCTCAAATATTTTCTTAATTTCAAAAAAATCTAATTAGGATTTCACTCTTAATCAAGTTAGATCTATCTCTATTATTGAACTATTCAAAAAAACTCTTACAACAATATTCACTAAATGACTTGATAAAATTATTACATCAAACAATCATCTCTCTAACTTTAACTTTGCTGAAACCAAAAATTCATCGACACATATACCAATTCAAATCCTACATAACACAATAGAACATTATATATCCTAAAACAAAGAAGCTTGGATTTTATTTCAAGATATGTCTAAAGTATTTGACAAAATAAATATCTCTCGTCTTCAGGAAACATGCAAAAAAATAGGCATTCTAATCAAAGGTATAAATTTTATTACTGAACTATATACTTCTTGACTAGCAAAAATTATTACAGGACATGGTCTCACTGCTCCGGTCCAACTGAACTCTGGTATTGAACAAGGAGAAACATATTTACCCTTACTCTGGAAAATCTATTATGATCCAATTCTTATTTTTATCTCACAAAAATATCAAAACTACCTTCTAAAAATTTCTAATCAATCTCCTCTCGAACTTATCTCAAATACTACTCC